TGGGGTGGAATGCTGGGTTGACATAACTGGAATAGCCTGCCTCGATTCCCCTGCTATAATTCAGACATGTTGGGGACACGTTAACAGGCACTCCAACATTGCCGTTCTTCGATTATTTCTGGGCAGTAAATTATCCTGGTTAGATGGTTAGGCATTTGTTTGTTTTACCATTTCTGAAAGACGGCTTTAAATCATGTTTTTACTGTATTCTTGAAGGTCTGCTGAGTAGGATGTCTTAAGAAAATGTTTTTCTATCATCAAAGTTGCACTGTTGACATATACATATCCATGTAGTTAAGATGGCGAATAATTTTCTGTTTTGACCACATTTCTGGTACTTTGATTAGTGAACCTGTGCTTAGCATTTCAGAAGCAAAACAAATGGATATAAAGAATGTGGTGTTCTGCGGTAAATATGCTTACTTTGGACATTATTTGGGTTTTGTATTTGTTATTTTATTATTTCAAGTATTTTAAGTTAATTATCCCTGACAAAATTATTTTATGTTTGTTTTGCTTCCTGTATAATGATTTTGAGCTAGAAATGATTAAAAAGAACAACTTTGAATGGGTATTTTGAAACACTAAGTGTGTTGTTTGCATATGGATCCACAAGGGTGTGTAACAATATACAGTTAGAAGCTTATATATTGTATAAATGTGGTAGGTTATTGGGTATTTTATCTTGAAATGTTTTACAAGACTGTAGCTTAAATTTGGGAGAATGTTTTTAGCTTAAATAACCAGACCACCAACTAATTGTTTCCCTGATTATATACTGAGAGAAACAAATAAAAAATCACAGGAAACTTCAAGTCTTTATTATTTTCCAATTTTCATCACCACTGCGCTGTTCAGAGCTGGTGATGGAAACTGGAAAATATTAAAGGAGCATCGCTTTATTATTAAAGGAACGCTTTGAATTTCCTCTGATTTTTATTTGTTTCTCTCAGTATATTAATTACAGGCTGACATCTCAGAGTGAAACTTTGATGGGTCAAACTTCCAGTTATTAAAAGTAAAATCTTCATGCCCTTTCATTTGTTAATCATCAATTTTTGGTTGTGTGGAGGAAAACTCAAAGTATTTATGTTTCCTTCAAAACGGTTGACAAAACAATGTTTAGCTGGATAATCATCTTATCTTTCTAATAATTGACCACCCGTGTCCCTGATTTGATTGGCTCCAGTTATTATTGTCAGCTGTGACTTTACTCCTTAGAATAGTTTCAGTACTTTTCTGAAGAAGTTGAAGAACACTGATTTTATCAACATGATAGATTAACTGTGGTCATATGGAGAAACTGGTATTATATCTATACTGTTTTTAGTGGATAATGTGTAGGTTAAACATATTTTTTTAAAATAACTCCGTGGGAATGGACAAAGGTAATCCACTCAGTAATTGAATGTCAAGATATTGACATCAATTAAATCTACATGCTGGGCTTTATAGCATCAATTCCAAATGTGTGCAGATATGTACAATGAGTGCAACTAATATTAAACAATTTGGTAACCATGGAAGTGAGAATTTAGCAAGAGCATGGCTAACTATTAGGATGCTAAATAAACACATTGTCTTTTGAAAAATGATAATTACTTCATGAGAAAGAATTATTTCTAAATTTCAGAGTTTCTTTGTTTGATATTTCTTTCACAGAGCCTGTAAGATGAGTACTTAGGACACTTAACGAAACAGTAATATACATTTTCACATGGAATGTTACAAGAGCATGAGTTTTGATCTGATAGGTTTCCTTTGTATTTAAACAGCATTGAGGTTTCTTCAGTTATACCAAGTATTTAGCATGTTAACTGCTCTGTCAAGTAAGTTGAAATTATCAAGAACTTTTTGCAGGTTTTGATTGTTTTATTATTAAAATCTGACAAAGAATTTATTTGTTTCAGTAGTGTAGTATCTCATTCAACATCTTTTCTGTTTTGAATAGACTATGCAATACCTGCCATTCCATGCACAATGTCAAGTCAAATGAAATATGAAAAATACACATACATAAACCTTTCCAACTTTTTTATCTATCACAGCTAATCAGCTGGAATTATGTGTTTTGCCATAGTGGTTCTGAATTAAAAATAGACTTTCCATGACGAAAATAAAAAACAAATTCAATTGTTAACCAACCCGATGCCTTCTACCCCTTCTAACATTTCTGATAGATAATTAGAAAAAAGTCCCTTTCTTTATTGTTATAAGACCAAATGAATTAATTGTCCTGCTTTGAGGATTAGTTAAGTAAACAAATATACAAAGAAACATGATACTAACTATTTAAAAAACTATCTCTGTCAATGCTGATTGTGCATCCCAAGGCATCTCTTGAACCAAAACATTCAACTGAAATATAGGGCGTGGGGTAGCCTAGCGGTTTAAAGCATTGGCTCGTCACACCAAGACCGGGTTCGAATGCCCACATGGGTACAACGTGTCCCATTTCTGGTGTCCCCAACAATATTGCTAAAAGCGGCGTCTAAATTCAGTCAGTCAGTCAGTCAGTCAACTGAAATATAATGTTGCATTCACAAACAATTTAATCAAACACTAGAAAGTTTATTTACATTAGGTTCAGGTATTTACTTAGGTGTTTGAAATGATTAAATAAATGAATGTATAACTAAGGAATATTAATAATGTAAATATGTAAACTATGCATTGCCTACTGACCAACAGAAAGCCATATGTGGATTCCGAAGCACATCTCCAGGTCACGTGAAAGTCAGTTATTAGCGGGAAAATTCCCAGTCATAATCCAGTCATTACTGGCAGAGTGGTCATCACTGACCTGGTCATCTGTGAAGCTGGACATGATATGTGGCCAAACTGGGCACATACATCACCCCCAGAAGTGCGAGATTCGGGATGTAGGTGTGAACGCAGTAATGACACAAGCAAGGGTGGTCGCAGTTAGAGCACCATGTGATGGGGGCTGTCAAATTGCAGCTTGAATATATGTGTTAAAGTGCTGTACCTCCACTTTACGTCCAGGAAGGAATGTCTGAAAGTGCTGTGGACATAACTTTGGTCAAAGGCTATACCATGAAGGAGATGGCAACCATATGTCCGCTAGGTCAGCGATGATACAAGGGTTATACAAGGGTGATAGTGGAAGATAAGAGGGTTATACTCCGGGCAGTACCCTCAAGAATGGTCAGTGCCAATATTAGTACCAATTGCTTTGTAATTAACACAACTCTCAATTGCGGTGCTCTTTCCTTGCTCGATTGATTGCTTATGACAAGGTCGATCAACATGCACTGGGTCACCCCTATATTTCTCACCCGACTTATGCCAAAGTGACATTTTTCGTGTCATTGACAGCACTTATTGGTAAAGTCTGTCGGTCATGATAACGCCAAGTAGTTTGTATGGATCTGGCATGGCTGTCCTCTACCTTTCGTCCTGGGTGTTCAGATTTGTGTTGTCACATGGTCGGCTTGCAACATCATCGTCTCTGCACAGCATCCTTACATCACTGCAAGCCTGCCAGAGACTAAGCTGTACTAATTAGCTATTTAGCTTTCAACCTGTGTAATATGGTGGGATGTCACATTGCACAAACATGTCTCCATACAGTGTGAGCTATGTGGCCTAACTATGTAGTAACAAGCAGGCTAGGGAACAAATCATCTTAAATCAGTCATTACTGTTGACACAAAGAAACTGGTATATGTGTGTGGGAGATATAGAGAATATCGCCTGGTTTTCTGCTGACTAAGGTTACACAACCGGCGCCACATTCCTGGTTTTGGGACGGGGAATATGGAATGTTCTACACGCTAATGCAGCCCCACAGACACAGGTATCATCTGGGATGTCTTTGCATGATGAAAATAATTCCTCTGCAGTATATTCCCAGCAACTTTTTATAGAAGAGATTTGTCAGCACAATAAGGATTCATGTTTGGCCATTGTCTTCATAATGTATGAAGTCAGGAATACTTTAATAAAACATTTTGCTTCAAAAGTTGCATATTTCGACTTTAAAGTTTCAAAGATGGCCCAGGCTGATTTGCTTTGATTATCTGAGTAAATATGGAACAGACATGTGGTCAAAGTTTAATTTATTCAAGGATTTACTGATAGTTGCATTGTCTGCCATTTTTCACAATGTATACAGCCATATTTCTATGCTTGATCAACCGCCTCCATGGTGTAGTGGTTAGAGTGTCCGCCCGGAGAGCGGAAGGTCGCGGGTTCGATCCCCGACCGCGTCATACCAAAAGACGTTAAAATATGGTACTTGTTGGTCCCTGTCTGGCGCTGGGCATTAATGGGTACAACAAGGACTGGTCGGCTCGGAGTCAGTATGATGTGTCTGAGTGGGGTATTCATGCTTCACTGCGGCATGGTTTCTCAGTGGGCTAGCACTATAAAACCAGCTTCAGTCTGGGCTAGTACAAGCAGCCGCATATACACATACACACGCATGCACGTCGTCATATGAGCGAAATATTCTCCAGCACGACGTTAAACCCAATTTCACCTCACCCCACCTTCTATGCTTGATCACTTTATAAAGTTATATTTTTCAAGTGTTAGACAAAGGGAAACTAGATGTCTGTCAAATAAATAGTAATGAGCATAGTTTATGTCATCAGTTTCTTTTAAATTTGCCATTCATTATCCTTTCTATATTTCATATTCGACAGAGGTAGATGTATAGGAAATATTTCTGAATATTAGGCATCCGTGGATACGTTTCTTTGATTCTTGAGTAAATATTGATTCGAAAATACTGTAGCAAGCCCTTTTGCCTTTAAGGTCAAAGTCAAAGAATGTATTGAGGGAAAATAAAACATCCTGTTTTGATCATTTTAATACTGGTAGATATTGTTTATAAACTTTGAGATTCACTGATACTGTTGAAACCACTGATTTCATTCAGATTTGTTTAAGATGGATTCCTTGGATAACCATGGTGTATGTGTAAACTGACCGTGTCTGGTATTTCCTAGTTACATTCATCCTTTTTGTTAAAGGTAGAGGTAGTGGATCTTGAACCAGAGTTCCGGGATCTCACCCAGGATAGTGTGCTGTATTACAACAAGGGTCTGTGATTATCAGGTGGACAACTGACTCCAGCATCAGAGTTCTGGGATCTCACCCAGGAGAGTGTGCTGTATTACAACAAGGGTCTGTGATTATCAGGTGGACAACTGACTCCAGCATCAGAGTTCCGGGATCTCACCCAGGAGAGTGTGCTGTATTACAACAAGGGTCTGTGATTATCAGGTGGACAACTGACTCCAGCATCAGAGTTCCGGGATCTCACTCAGGAGAGTGTGCTGTATTACAACAAGGGTCTGTGATTATCAGGTGGACAACTGACTCCAGCATCAGAGATCCGGGATCTCACCCAGGAGAGCGTGCTGTATTACAACAAGGGTCTGTGATTATCAGGTGGACAACTGACTCCAGCATCAGAGTTCCGGGATCTCACTCAGGAAAGTGTGATGTATTACAACAAGGGTCTGTGATTATCAGGTGGACAACTGACTCCAGCATCAGAGTTCCGGGATCTCACCCAGGAGAGTGTGCTGTATTACAACAAGGGTCTGTGATTATCAGGTGGACAACTGACTCCAGCATCAGAGTTCCGGGATCTCACTCAGGTCAGGAGAGTGTGCTGTATTACAACAAGGGTCTGTGATTATCAGGTGGACAACTGACTCCAGCATCAGAGTTCCGGGATCTCACCCAGGAGAGTGTGCTGTATTACAACAAGGGTCTGTGATTATCAGGTGGACAACTGACTCCAGCATCAGAGTTCCGGGATCTCACCCAGGAGAGTGTGCTGTATTACAACAAGGGTCTGTGATTATCAGGTGGACAACTGACTCCAGCATCAGAGATCCACCCAGGAGGGTGCTCTCACCTGTGATTATCAGGAGGAGTGTGGATCTGGAGAGTGTGCTGTATTACAACAAGGGTCTGTGATTATCAGGTGGACAACTGACTCCAGCATCAGAGTTCCTCACCCAGGAGAGTGATCTCACAACCTGTGAGGAGGAGAGTGTGCTGTATTACAACAAGGGTCTGTGATTATCAGGTGGACAACTGACTCCAGCATCAGAGTTCCGGGATCTCACCCAGGATAGTGTGCTGTATTACAACAAGGGTCTGTGATTATCAGGTGGACAACTGACACGACAATCAGAGATCCAGATCACTCTGGCTCTACAATCTCAACTGTTAGGACCTCACCCAAGAGAAGGTGGACAACTGACTCTGGTGTCAGTGATCCAGAATCTCACCCTGTAAAGGATCAGTGATTTTCTAGATGACAAGTTGCTCAATGATCACAGATCACATGTCCTCAGTCCTCACCCAGGAGAGGGTGGACAGCTGACTCTAGAATCAGACTACTGGACTCTCACCCAGGAGAGGGTGGACAGCTGACTCTAGAATCAGACTACTGGACTCTCACCCAGGAGAGGGTGGACAGCTGACTCTAGAATCAGACTACTGGACTCTCACTACTGTACTCTCACCCAGGAGAGGGTGGACAGCTGACTCTAGAATCAGACTACTTGACTCTCACCCAGGAGAGGGTGGACAGCTGACTCTAGAATCAGACTACTGGACTCTCACCCAGGAGAGAGTGCTGCACTGGAACAAGGAGAGAGTTGTACTGACTCTAGCGCCAGGAATCCAGGATCTCATCATGAGGATTGTGTTGTAGTTTCACAAGGGCCGGTGATGAGGTTGACAACTGACTGACTGATCTCACAAAGAGAGAGATGGGCAGTTACTGATAGTTGGAGAAGGGAGAGAGATGGGCAGTTACTGATAGTTGGAGAAGGGAGAGAGATGGGCAGTTACTGATAGTTGGAGAGGAGAGAGATATGGGCAGTTACTGATAGTTGGAGAAGGGAGAGATGGGCAGTTACTGATAGTTGGAGAAGGGAGAGAGATGGGCAATTACTGATAGTTGGAGAAGGGAGAGATATGGGCAGTTACTGATAGTTGGAGAAGGGAGAGAGATGGGCAGTTACTGATAGTTGGAGAAGGGAGAGAGATGGGCAGTTACTGATAGTTGGAGAAGAGAGAGATGTGGGCAGTTACTGATAGTTGGAGAAGGGAGAGATGGTGCACTGATAGTTGGAGAGTTGGAGAGAGATGGGCAGTTACTGATAGTTGGAGAAGGGAGAGATGGGCAGTTACTGATAGTTGGAGAAGAGAGAGATGGGCAGTTACTGATAGTTGGAGAAGGGAGAGAGATGGGCAGTTACTGATAGTTGGAGAGGGGAGAGAGATGGGCAGTTACTGATAGTTGGAGAAGGGAGAGATGGGCAGTTACTGATAGTTGGAGAAGGGAGAGAGATGGGCAGTTACTGATAGTTGGAGAAGAGAGAGAGATGGGCAGTTACTGATAGTTGGAGAAGGGAGAGAGATGGGCTGAGTTGGAGAGGGGAGAGAGATGGGCAGTTACCGATAGTTGGAGAGGGGAGAGAGATGGGCAGTTCCTCAGCCACCAGAGATACCAGGATCTCATGGGGAAGGTTGTGATTTTCTACTACAAAGGTCTGAACAGCTGACTGTAGAATCAGAAATCAAGGATCTCACCTTGGAGAGAAGTGGACAACTGACTCTGAGTTCTTATGAAACATATTATCAATTGAAAAAATCAATGTAAACAAATGTGAATTGAAGTTTGGCATATTTTAGTCTTGTAAATCTTTTTTCAAATATTTATGTATATGTTTTTAAATATTTCATACATTTTGTTGTCAAATTATTAATGGAATTCTGCTGAATGTTTAAGTGAATTTATATATTATATTGTAAAGTTGTATATAAACTTTTGGTTTTTACACAGACCTTGAAAATTCAAGGTTTTTCTTTTTGCAATATTTTGTCATAAATAATGATTGTTTTATGTATTTTGTATGTTCACATAAATATTCTCATGTCTTCTCCTGTTCATCATAAACACATAAATACTGGAGAGACTAAGTTTGAAAAGTAAGCGTTTAGGGGAATCTGATCACAGACAGAAATTTCATTTCAAACATCTGCATCATGGGTCACCTGGTGTCGAGTTTAAATATTGCAACAGTTATTTCTATCACTTTATTCAGTGGCAGAGTAGGGGCATCCATCAAGGCAACTTGTGTCATATATTAATCTTACACTATTGATTCATGCGACACCCATGAACCTTACTATCATGTCACATATGAAGGGAATGGCTGTCCTCGCCATCTTAAGACTGGTGTCATACATCCAGATTATTACCATGACTCATGTAACTTTTAACTTGTATTCAATCTTACAAGACCTGTGAAGATCTGGGTTAGAATTGCTCTTTAGCACCCCATGCATGTGGTAGGAGGCGACTAACGGGATCAGGTGGTCAGACTCGCTGACTAGGTTGCCACGGGTCTCTGTATCCCAATTGCGCAGATCGATGCTCATGCTGTTGATCACTAGATTGTCTGCTCCAGACTCGATTATTTACAGACCACTGCCATATAGCTGGAATATTGCTGAGTGCGGCGAAAAACTAAACTCACTCATTCACTCTTACAATGTGACTCCTGTTACTAGAGGGCAGAGTTCCTTATCCGAGGACACTGGTGCTACGTATCATGCGTTACAGTCACAAGAATGGCCTATACACAACATGTTCTTGTCCAATTTTTACGTACGTACGTTATCCTCAGTTTAAGGTGTGAAAAAGAGACAATGTCTCTGTGAAATAATAACTGTTACATTGGTAATATAGTGTTTACTATAACGTTTTCAGCTCGACATTGATCTGAGACAATATGTCGAGCCTTCTCACCCTTGCCAAATCAAAATTTGGTGCAGTTGTCCTCTTTGACAAAAATATCTTGTAGCGAAGTGGTTAATGTTTTGTGAAAACACGCTTGGCTATGTTGATTGTTTCCCCAAACACGTTGAAAACGACAATCCAATCCGTAATCATCCAATTTCGATTCGGTTATGCCAATTTATTTTCTGGTTTCTGCGATAATGCGATCGTTCAGTGTATGTGATGGAGTGCACCCCCCATTACCTTCCCCAAGACGGCCTGTTTTCTGCACCGATGTCGCTTAACTCTTCCGCATTGACACCTTCAGTCATGCTTCGTATTGACGTGGTGATATTTACAATATCACATGACTGTATTATTAGAGGCGAGAGAGACTAATCGCGCGTCTAACCCTACCTGACAGCACGTGACATTGTTTCTGTTGCCGTGACACCCAGCACAGATTTTCAGATTAAGATCAGAAAGAGACCTAAAATGTCGGGAATATGTCAAGTGTTCCGTACACTCGCAGAAAATGTCTGCTAAAGTCATTTATGTCACCGCATACCTTGAAAAAGTACTTTGTTTTCACGTTCACCACGAAAACAAAGGCCTGTTATGCAGACATACGTTATCGAAAGCACTAATGTACAGTCATTATGCTCAAACCCGAGGTTTTGGCATCACTCGCTCAGGATCCTGTCCCCTTTGATCAGGAGGAAATCTTCACCTTTGAATCACGTCAATACATGTACGTTCCTTGTCGCGTACTTAAAGTTCAAACCAAGTACCCGATATTATAAGATATTAGATAATGTCAGAATTGGTTCCCAGCACCATTTAGACTCCTTGCGGGAACTGAACAGATCTATAGTTGTTGTTCCTCATGCGTGGATCAACCACCGGATCCAATGGAACCGTCATTGTATTCAAAGAATGGGAACCAGCCGAGTTGTTAAGGTCCTGTACTGAATTATTACAGAGTACTATCTAACGCAACAATCAGGCACTCAAAAGCAGGGGGCGGTGGGGTAGCCTAGTGGTTAAAGACCCGGGTTCGATTCCCCAATTTCTGGTGTCCCCCGCCGTGATATTGCCCGAATATTGCTAAACATAGATGTATTTACTGCCTGGTAATCCAAACACCCATGCTGTATAGGTGCGAACTACGAGCAAATCTCCTGTATTTTCATATTTTCGTTTATTACGCCATGGCAACAAATGTTATCGAAAGTCCAATTTCGAGTTAAAGAATCTTTCATTTTCGACACCAAAGAGTCTCGATCGTCTGACCCCATTTTCGGCCCAATCATCTTCTTTCATTAGCCTCCGGTCTGTGATTCTCCAGGGACCTACAGATGGCACACACAGGTCATTTATTGGTGTTCATATCCCTATGTATACTGCTCCAGTTTTGGTAGGGAAATCTTATCCTTGAAGTTCCATTTTCTGCAAAAATATTTCTCATAATATGTCAAGTATATATTTAAACATAATATACTGAATGAACATTAGGTTATAGTTTTCAAAAGTTGAATCGTAAATTCTTCAAAAACACGGTTCCTGGGAATCAAACCTTTCTAGCAGAAGTCCCCCTGGCATTCCCCGTGGATATAAATACTGGAGTTAGATTCAACCTAGACTAACGCTTTGTCCCTTAACATATAACATTTTGATAGTAACAAATAAACCAATTTAAATTGAAAAAGAGCCCAAGTGAGATTGAACCTGAAACCTGGGGAAATCTTGACTTGCTTCATTTAGGGTTTAGCATTGCAGGGAGGGCTAGGCATTAGGGAAAATAATGTGGTTCAGGGACTGTGAGACTAGATTC